AGAAAACAGAAATTATATTATTTTTATTTTACAAACTATAAACAAAAATCGCACAAATAAAATTCTCACTTTTTAATAAATATTTGTCTTACTTTTCATTAAATCGTAATTTCTCTTAAAAAAAAACTTCAGATTCAAACGTTTTGGTAACCATGTCATAAATGGAAAAAAAGGTTGTGTGTATATATATATATCGATCAATTGATAAAAAAATATCTTGGATTGGAATGGTCCAAAAAGTGGAAAATGTGTGCATGAGCCATCAGACCATGATCATTTTGTCATTATGCTTAGTTCTATATATATATATATGTTGAGGTAGTCACAGGACTAAAAGTCAGACTTTTAAAATGTGGAACAATTTCACAGTCCATCACATGGTCAATTCTGTTTAACGTCTGTGTTTAATCAATAATAGTACATATCTAAAAAATAAATTTATGAACCACATTTATTATAGAATCATTCACATTACATAAATTTTAAATTTACATTTTGATAACTTATTTTTAGAATAAAGAATATAAACAGATAGCAATTTTTTTAAAAAAAAAAAACTTCAAATAAAAATTTAAGCCCTTGCATTTTTTTTATTTATTTAGGTCCACTATTTTACTTGCTTGGGCTATATCTTAAAAAGGCAAAAAAAAAAAAAAAAAAGGTGGGGGAGGGTTTCGAGCCTACTTTGTTAGGTAACAATTTGATAACTTGAATAGTTTTTAACTTTTCAATTATGAAGTGACTAAGTTGCGTTTGAATATTTTTTACGATATCCACTTTTTCCATTTTTTATATGTAAAAATGGCATTAGAAGTTAGAACTAAAGCATAATAATAGGATTGATTAACCACAGCCACACGGAAGTGTGCATGGGTTTTGTCATCAATAGGAAAAAACAAGTGGGGGAATGCTAAAAAAGTCACCTATCCTGACGCAGGCATGCAAACCAATTTTGCTTACTTTTTCAGTCATTTATAATTGGAATGCATGCATGCCAGCATGAGAACAATTAACACTATATATGTTCCCATTAAGTTCCAATGTAATAGTACTGGTGATGATATATACATTGAGCAATGTTAGGCATATTAAATGTTTTATTAAATATCTTATATGAGTGTGAGACTCACATATCTCATATAGGTCTGGGATCAATATCATATATGGGTCCTACACCGTGTGAGATATTTAATAGAATATTTGGTAAAACATTTAAGATCCCTAATATTTTTCTAAAAATATTTAAAATTTGAATACATATAAATGAAACTATCAAAATAGAGATCGTGGTTGGCTGAGAGTAAAGTGAGAGTTTTTAATTTGTACTTTTAGATTTTTTATTGAATTTTTTAATATTTTAATTATTATTTTTTAGTTTCACTTAATTTATATTCACTTTAAAAAGTATTAAAAAAATTATGAAAAACTTTTAAAAAATTCACAAAACAAAAAATAATTATGTGTATTTTTATAATTTTTGTATTTATTAAACATTTTAAAGACTTTTCCCACAATTTTTTTTTACTTTTATAAGTATCTAGATTAGATGCATCTAAAATAAAATAAAATGACTAATATATATATATATATTCAATAAAGACAATAAATAAATAAATAAATAGACTCATTTCAAAATCAAACAGATAAAATATTACTGTGAGTTTTTGAATTATATATAAACTTGCTACATTTTCAAACTTGTCTCATTTCCATTTTCCTATCCGTGAGAAAATATGGCAAGTTCAAACAGCCAACATTTCTCAGGACAACTAAGTTATATATATATATATAAATATAATTAGAGAGAAGAAAAGCTAATAAGCTATGTACCTTGAATTGAAAAAGTATCCTAAAAGTTATTGTGAAAGTGTAATGCATGATGTAGAGTTAATTAGGTGTGAAATAGATTACAATCAAATACATCAAAATATACCAACTCTGCACATCTTATTTCAAAGAAAATTTTAGGACAATTTTCACTTTATCCCTATGGTTTGCGCTAGATGCGGTATATCCTCTTGACATTTAGAAATCACCATATACCTCTCTTGTAGTTTATGGACTAAAACACACATTAACTTCTATTAACACAAGTTGTAAATTGACAATTATACCATCATCTTCATCTTCTTCTTCTCTCTCTCCATTTCAGGAGAACCCAGCTCTCTCTCTCTCTATCTTCATCTTCTTCTTCTCTCTCTCTCCATTTCAAACTTTATATATGTACATACATATACATATCAAACCCAAAACAAAAATTCAAAAATCATGGATTTTGCTCTTTTATTGTACTCCAATTCATAAACTCCATGGTTTTTGATTTATGTTTCGGATAATGATGTTGATGAATCCAAAATAATCTTATATTCCAAAAATATATAACACGCATATATATATGTACAGCTATGTATATGTGTGTGTCAAAATCGTGCATCTATATATATATATATATGTTCACTGTGCATCTATATATATATGTGTGTGTGTGTCAATCTTTACGAGATGATTTGATATATATATCTTTGATTGGAAAAGATTAAAACAAAAGAGAGAGAGAGAGAAAGAAAAGATGTTGATTTTATCTTAATGGAGTACAAGCTGAAGATTGAAAACTTCTCAAATTAATCATCAATCGAAAACTTAAAATTTCAGAAGACAAATAAACATTATCAACATAAAATCTTGGAATTTACAGTAAGGTTAGTGTCCTTTCAGACTGAACGATACTCATTTATAAAATTTGAGTCATCATTTCACAATATGTCAAAGAATTGCTCTGTTGTACTTGGGAAAACATCCTGAGAAGAATTATTATAGATAATATTAACGTGAAACATAAAGAAATTAAATACTCATGGACAGTGCCAAACAATTATACATACATTGTGTATACCAACTAAGGCTTCTTCTTTTTTTTGATCGGCAAAAAAAAGAAACTATGTTGATGAGATAAACAAGTACAAAGTATAAGACAAATTACATCAATAAAGGAAAGGGGAGTGCAAAAGCATCGCAGTGAGCTAAATGATCCCAACTAGGTTGGCACCATCGAGCACACCCTAAATGATCCCAACTAAGGCTTCTTCTTTGACGAAGGGAATGGCATTTTTTATAAATTTGAAGTTGTGTAAGGGATATTTTCGTCTTCAAAATGAATCTACTCTCCACATAGGGGAGTGGTTCTCACATTTCGTTATATTAGAGAGAAAAGCTAACAATACACTTTAGTCCATAAACTAAGGGGGGTTATGTGGTGATTTCCGAATGTCAGAGGATAAATTGCGCCCGGTCCAAACTACAGGAGGTAAAGTGAAGTTTTTCCAAAATTTTAATGGTACTTTGTTATTAGCAACATAATATTAATGAAAGTATGTAGAAACTCCATTACACCAGTAAAATTCCATCACAAGCTATAATGCAAGGTGTTAACCTGAGTAGTAAGTATATTGGTTAACATATTTGAAATGATTGTGCACATTTATTATAAAATATATGTTATCCAGAATTTATGATTATTTTAAATTATATTAACCAATGGAACAATAGATAAACAAGTACTGAAAAAGATGACACAATTTAAAAAAAATAAATAAATAATTTTTTTTGAATTAATGATTATCGGATTTGGAGGATAAATTAATATAAAATTTGTCAAGTAGATGAAGGAAGACGGTGTTGAATAGTTAAGAAGTTAAACACAATTACTAGTCTACTATGAACCACATTTTTCATATCCCAAATAGATGAAGTCAAACACAATTTAATCAATTTTCACAACCTTTGACATTTCTATTTTGAATCAATTAGTACTGGGGTGAATAACGGATATTTCGATCGGTCCAAACCGACTGAATCGAATTGATCCGTTGTATTTTGGATAAATGCGTGATGACGAACGGACAATTGCAAATTAATTTTTTCTAATCCGCATAGTTTTGGACCGCTGGTGGATTTAAGGTACCTTTGGCCGCAACCGAATCGCCAAATCACGAGCACCCCTAGTAATTTGTAATAATTTATATTTTTAATTTGTTTAGATATTCTGTTTGTATTTTTAATTGAAAAAGAATTTAGATATTCTGTTGTATTTTCAATTTGTTTTCAATTTGGAAATCTTTTTATCAAATGACAAGTGTTGATATTTACTATTTTTTGTATGAAAAATATAAGGTCTAATTTTGTCATTTAAAAAAAAATCAAATTAAATAATTTTTGAATAAAAAAAAAGTAATGAAATTATTTTGATAACACATGGCTTTCTTAATTGTAATTATTATTGGTACTTGAAAATTTACTTGATAATCTTTTAGTTATGTTGAGTTGGATTGTTATCATAAAAAAAAAAAAACTGACAAGTTATCACTACAAGAAATTACATTTTTGGCGACTAAAATTTTAGTCGCCAAAAGTTAGATTTTTAGTCACCAAAATGTTTTCCCGACTAAATAGTTTGGTCGCCATCTTGGTCGCGGAAAGATCGTCAGGGAAGGTATTGGCGACTAAAAAATATTTAGTCGCCGAAAGTCCTAAATTGGCTACTAAATAATTAGTCGCCAAAAGGAAAGGCATTGGCGACTAATTTTCTTTAGTCGCCGAAAGTCAGTGATTGGCAACTAAAAATTTAGTCGCCCAAAGTTTTCAATAACTGTGCTTTTTTGTTTTAGCGACTAAAATCTTTAGTCACTAAAAACATGACTCCTTTTGAGCTACCAATTTTTTGGTCGCTAAAATCATGGTACTCCTTTTCGACTACTAATTTTTTAGTTGCAAAAAACTTTTTTTTTTTTTTTTTTTTGGCTACTAACTATTTAGTAGCCAATAAGTTCTCTTTTAATTTTTTGGCTACTAAATGTTTAGTCGTCAAAAGCTATTTATTAATTTTTTTTAAATGCATAAATTGAATATTTTTAATTAATTTGTAAATTATATGCAGTCCATTATCAATGCAACCTATAACCTGTAAATAAACAGAATAATACATCTATCAATTATCATCTAAATCCATTATAAATAATATTACTCATTTCATTATCATATAAATCTACATCAACACCAACCAAGTATAATCTATCTAAATTAAATATTACATACAAAAACAATGGATTTCCAAAACAAAGAATTGTACAAAAATAAATGTTTTCCATATACAGAACAAACGCTCTTCGTACACAAAAATAAATATCCACAAGAGCCCACGCAAAAGCAATCTGTTAAAAAAAAAAAAAAAAAACCATTAGCACTTATTCAATAAAATTGACATTTCAAATTATAACAATTATAAATTTAATAATTCTGATATATTATACTTTGCAAATTATTGTGATCAAATAGACAACATGTTATTGTAAATGAAGTGCATGGTATGGTTCACCTAAATCAATGGCCTGCAAAAAATACCATTAGAATTTGAAAGGGAAGTGAAAGGCAAATGATTCATAGTGCTTTGTCAAGAAACTCAGGATCACCCAAACCAGCAAAAACTTAGGGTCACCTAACCTCCAGTTCCTTCAGTGCTTTGTCAAGAAAAACTGCAATAGCAAACAAACAACATGATTAGGCTTTCTCGAAAGGATACTGAAGTATTCATTTACAAGTATCAATGTATACAAGTCCACATCTCTTAAAAAAAATTTGTCTCATAAACCACCAAATTAGAATGAGGTTCCAAAGTGGAAACTTAATATGAAAGAAGAAATTGAACATTTAGAGTGGATGCTACTGAAATGCTACCAAACAGTTGTTTATGATCCAAACACAAATTGCTAACAAATCATTTGTATGAAATTGCTAACAAATCATTTGTCACCCTGGCATTTGCAACTCACTCATATAAATACCAGAATAGTGGTGATTAATATCCAAAATTACTCCAACAAACATGGGAGGCCCAACTCCAATATTATTTCTTTCTTATAGGTGAAACAGAAATACACATTTTTTTATTTTCCATGAATCAACCAAATATTTGGAAGTTTACACCTAAACCAAAATCCACATTTCTTTGTCACTGGTCAAATTTGTTGAAACTTAAGAATGTCAAGAACTTCATAATGAATTTACATGAAGATGAGATGTAAAAATTGGTTACAATTTTCATCCAAAATTAAAATTTTCATCCAAAATTAAAATTTTCATGCTCATATATGACATAAGAAATAAGTGATGCTGTATTTTATCAAAACTGTTATTCAATATACTGTCACGACCCAAATCCGGCCCTATGGGTTTAGCACCGTAACCGGTCAGTAATCCGAGATTACCGAAGGCCTGCAGAACAGTAGAATAGTAAAACAGAGTACAGGGCCTGGCGGAAGCCAATACAGTAAATGAATAGTGTCCATGAAGCTGTGTCAGTCTGTATGCCAAAAAGATTTTTCATGCATTCACATATACAAACAGTACAGTCTATACAAAATTTACAGTCACACAGTACAGGGACCTAATCCCTTGATAACAGTACGGTTAGCATTTATTTGTCTATACAGTAATCCAAACAGTATAGAGACAGACGGGGGAAAAACAAGACACCCCAAAGCCATAACATGGCAACTGGAACCTCTCAGTGAGGCACAAAGGCTGGCTTGACAAAACTGGAGTCTAACCCACGCTCCTAGCTCCGATCTGGCGGACTGAGCACCTACATATATATATAAACAGTGAGCTAAAACCCAGTGAATAACATAATGCGTAAAGGGGTTATGAATGAAATGTCCTTATTAGTAAGGAAATCAGTTCATTAAACAATACTCAATCTTTCAGTCAGAACAGTTATTCAGTCATATGTGGTACATCCATTAGCATAGCAGTAAACAGTAGGTCTTAAAGACCGAACAGTAATGATGGCCATCAATCAGTAAACAGTAGTGGTTCCACGAGGGAACCGACAGAGATCTCTGTAACAGTAAAACAGTAAGTGCTAAGGATGTCACAATACAGTTCAGAAGATAGGACATACATTCATTCAGTAAAACAATATCAGTTCAGTAAACAGTTCAGTTCAGTATTCAGAAGATAATCATTTGAACATATCTTTACACAATTGTTACTCACAGAGTTTGGGCTACAGTATGCTAGAGCGTGTCTCCCCAGTCGCCAGCCCTACACAGTTCACAGGTTGAACACACACTAAGCTACACAGTTGGGAAAGATAACAACTTAATCCCTAATTTGCCTCGGTGTGTTCTACATCTATATCCTCAATAAGATGCCTTAAACTAGTCTAAGAATGTCTAGAATGGATGAGGATGCAAAGATGTATCAGAAAACAGTCTCAGAATTTTCAGAAAAAACAGAGTCCCGCTCGAGCGCATGTTTCCCCGCTCGAGCGGACATGCAACAAAGGTACACGCTCGAGCGTAAACTTTCCCGCTCGAGCGTACTGTAAAAGTACTGGATGGATGAAATCTCCGCCGACGCACCGCTCGAGCGCCCAATCCTCCGCTCGAGCGGACTGTAAAACAGTGCAGAGATACTGGATGCTCGGATTCCACGCTCGAGCGGCTCTTCCCCCGCTCGAGCTGGAGATTCCAGATTGCACCTCCAAGCTCAAACTCGCATTCAAATGCATCAAAACCGATCCTCTTGGGCCCATTTTCTGGAAAACATTTATAAACACATAGAATAACATGGTTCGAAGCTCAATTTGAGAAATCAAAGCCCAAGGGTGTTTAATTCAAACTCAATTTCAAACCATTTTTCAAGAACAAGATGAACATGCAAACATGCATGTATTCAAATCATTTTGAAGCTCCAACTTGATGCTCTAAGGAGCCAATCTTTTCAAAACATGGTGAAATCATGGACTTAAACATAATTATGAACATGCATGTAACCTTTTGCCATGAAAACAACTCAAACATCTATATTACAAACATGCATGCATGAAATGAGCTTCAAATCAACAACAATGAACCAATTCTAGACTTAAATCACTAGAGGCTCAAGAATCTTGCATGAATAAGCTTAAACACAACAAAGAGGGGTTGAATTCCTTACCTAGGTTCCTTGGATGCAAGTCTAGGGGTTCAATTTAGCAATCCACACTTCAATTAGCAAGCAATACACCAAGCAATTCAAGCCAATTCAACAAAATGAACTCAATTCTCTCCTCTAGTCTCTCTCTAGTCGGCAAGGCAAGGAAGAAGGCTGAGGTAAACGTTTTTGGCTCAAATGTAATGAACTCAAAAGTGTATAGGTAGTGGCCCACTCAAGGGCAAGGTTGTAATTAAGGCCAACTCTGTATTTTATCAATATTTAATCTAATTTAATCATACCTAATCAGTTTTCGAATAAAAACACTATAAAGTCACATTAATTACGACGATCATAAAACACCAATCGGTTTCTAATTCGGCCGCCGATAAGGCCTTCAATGAGCAGTTTAAACACAAGTCATGAACAGATCAAACATACAGTCAACAGATAAAATGCAATTCAAACGTACATACTCAGTCAATTCAGTTCCAGTTTTCAGTCAGTCAGTTCCGTAGTTTATTCAGTTCGATTATCAGTCATAATCAGTCTCGGGTAACAGTAATTAGCGGTTAATCAGTCATTAGTCGGTAAGCAGCATGAGGGTTGTTACATATACCCTATGCCAAAGTTGTTAAAGCATCAATTGGTCCAACAAACTCCTGACTGACTTATCAAAATTATATCTCCAATATATATATATTGACAATAAAATTATGCTCTTCCATTTACTTCAGTGCAAAAGAGTAAGTGAACCCATGAACCCATGCTAAACATTGCCCCTGTTTCAAAACTTGCTCTTGAAAAACAAAACCATGATTTGGTACTGATCAGTGAAATTACTGGATGAGATATCATGGTGTGATGATCACCAAGCCTAATAAGGTGGAAAAGGTCCATCTAGAAATAGTCGATAAGAATATCCTGGATTTATTATATAGAAACAAGCTTTCACAAATATAAAGAGTAACATGGCAAACATCAACAATATGCCCAAGGAACAGAGTGCCATATTCAATACATCTGGTTTAAGATCAAAGATTTCAAATGAAAAAAGAGAGAAAAGTTACAGAATACCTTGATTAGATATTTGTCCCCCCAGATACGATCTCATAGAACCCTAGAGAAAGAAAGAACAAAAAAGGAATATCTACAATTCCATGCCAAAAATCATCTGTAAAAAAAAAAAAAAAAAAAAAAATTAATCATTAGTATTGACCACATAGCATTGACATATTTGAAATTATAAAAGAAAATTATATAATGCAAAATCTTTGCATTATCCTTATGGGTCTTCACAAGCAAGACTGTTACTTATATCAAGCACTCATTTTCCATGCCAAAAGGACTAATATAGCATCTGAATTAAGTTTAGGGGGTATTCAACTCTAACTCCCAACCTACGGATTCGAATTGCGTTCCGTCAGTTCTCACAACTCCTATTTGTCATGGCGAAGCTATCCGTGCAAGCCACACGGTCGTTCGGGGGCTGTTTTGAATTTTTGCCCCCGAAACGCCCTTTTTCGACAAAGTTTAGGGCGTATTCGGCTCTAACTCCCAACCTACGGGTCCAAATTACGTTCTGTCAGTTTTCACAAGTCCTATTTATCATAGGAGAACTGTCCGCGTGAGCCACACAGTGGTTCGGGGGCTGTTATGAATTTTTGCCCCCAGAAAGTCCTTTTTTGACTAAGTTTAGGGCGTATTCAGCTCTAACTCCCAACCTACAGATCCGGATTACGTTCCGTCAGTTTTCATAAGTCCTATTTGTCATGGAAGAACTATCTGTGTGAGTCATAAGGTGGTTTGGGGGCTATTTTGAGTTTTCGCCCCCAAAAATGCCCTTTTTCGACTAAAATTCGACTTTAACTCCCAACCTACGGGTTCGAATTACGTTCTGTCAGTTCTTACAAGTCCCATTTGTTGTGAGGAAGCTGGTTGTGACATCCGTACGGTGGTTTGTGGGGCATTTTGCATTTTTGCCCCCTTAACGCCCTTTTTCGGTTAAGTTTAAAGCATTTTCGGCTCTAACTCCCAATCTGCACGTGCTAATTACATTCCGTCTGTTGTCACAGGTCCTATTTGTTGTGAGAAAGCTGGTTGTGACATCCATACGGTGGTTCGGGGGCTGTTTTGCATTTTCGCCCCCTTAATGTCGTTTTTCGATTAAGTTAAAGGCATTTTCGGCTCTAATTCCCAACCTACACGTGCTAATTACATTTCATCTGTTGTTACAAGTCCTATTTGTCATGGGGAAGCTGGTTGTGGTATCTATACGTTGGTTCGGGGGCTGTTTTGCATTTTTGCCTCCTTAACGCCCTTGTTTGAATAAATTTTAACAAAGAAAGCTACATAAGTTTGTCTCTAGGTATCCGATTCCTTTAATTTAACCTGATATCCAAGTACATTACAAAATATTCCTATTTCTTAACAAATTTCACTTATTTTCTACAATAGAATGGTGTGCACAATATGCCATAAAGCATTTTATTCCTATTTTTTGTATAGTTTTACGATTAACTCGAATTGGTAAGTATGTTTGTAGGTGAATGTCTAAGTGCACATATTGTTTATATATCTCATACTCATATCCTTATCCAAGTATAATGTCTGACAATGATACTCTATACATTTAGAAAAGGATAACTTACATGAACCTCCTAAAAGAAACTTATAAGAGTATAACTAAGAAAATAAAACTATTAACTATAAGGCATGGCCTCTGAAACTAAGATCATAATTGAAAGTGAGTTTATGAACACTTGCCTGATGGACCACCATCAGCATTATCACCAAGATCAAATCTACAAAAGATGGAGTTTGGGGAGGCATAGGATCTTGAAGAGTGAGCGTGGATGCTTGAATTACCAAGATCAAATCTACAAAAGATGCTCAGAGCCTAGATTCTATGTTGAAATCTATAGAGATGCAAGATACAAGGTGGGGGAGAGAGAGTAGCCATAGTCAAGTGGGAACTTGAGCAATTTGCTACACAATTAGATGTGAAAAGGTAGGGGCTCGACACTTTTTGTTAAATAGAAGGTTCCCATGATATATGACGTAGGATTTATTATCTTAAAAATTCCTCAAAAAAAATCATAAATTAATTTAAAAAGAAAAGCACCCACTACATCGGCATGGGTATGTATGAAAATAAAACAAAATAAGAAATTTCCACAAGAATATATTTTCCTATAAAATCTAGAAAAGAAATCAACAGATCAGAAAACTTCCTGGTTAACCATAGTTGAAAGAAATTTATATGCATATTCAATTGCCGAGTATCCCCCTAGTATAAAAAAAAAATGTCCATTTGCCATCCAGATACACCACAAGAGGAAAAAGTCAAATATGAAGAGGAAAGATTCAGATTGGGAGAGGTTGATCAATAGCTGAACCTAACCCTTACTTAAGCTGAGGAGTCCGGATCCTCTACAGTGATATTTCCTAGAGTGATCTTAAAGTGATATTTTGGATGACTGAGATTTAATTCTACAAAAGTTGAGAGTATAATAATCATTTCACCTTCCAGCCATAGTTGTCAAATCGGGATTCGTATCGTGAATCGAAATGATCTCGTATCGAATCGCGAATCGAATCGAATCGTGAATCGTAAAGATTCAGTCACTTTTTCTAAATCACTTAAAAATATACATCTACACATTTAGATGTTAAATGTATCTTATGAATATAAAATATTTAGACTTAAATCAACAAAAATGTTATTTTGAATGATAATCACGTAATTTAATAGGTAAGAAGTTAACAAAGGTTCCTATGTAAAATCACCATCTTATCTTTTCTTTTTCTTTTTTTTTTTTAGATTTTTTTATCAACCATTCTTAATAAAGGTAATAACCAAATAGAAACTATTAATTTCTAAAGTAACAATAGTTAACAACGATATTGATATTTGGACAATAAGTATATATACTTTTCTAAGTAAGAGTGAGCAAATAATAAGAAAGAATTATTTAGATATTTTATTTTAAAGCCTAAAACATTTTAACAGGTATAACTGACCTCACACATGTAGTATTCAATTTATTAAAATAGTAATAGATAATTCATAGTGTAACTCTAATCTTAAACATCTTTAGAAGATATATTACAATTTTTTGAAGGGGACAAAAATGAGAAGAAACGTTAAAAATATGTTAGGGTTGACTGAATCTGATTGGATCCTATAAAAAACTCCATGATCACTAAAATAATAACAAATCATATATATATGTTGGTTATTTTGGTAATAAATACTATTAGAAGTTGTATTATGTCATTTTCACTAAAAAGATGGAAAAAATGAGTCGAAAATATGTCGAACACAATAATTTCAAAAATTGCATGAATCGTAAAAAGTGAATCGAATCGTGAATCGATTGTGAATCGTGCGATTCACTAGAGATTCATTTCCAAAATAGATTCACTCATAGATTCGTATCGATTTTGCAAAAATTGCGTATCGAATCGTGAATCGAATCGCGAATCGTAAGATTCTGATAACAGAGCTTCCAGCTCTTAAGCCCTAACCCTATCACTCTAAGATCATTCTAGGAAAAAACCACTCTAGAGGATTCGAACTCTAAGCTGAGGTCAGCTATAAGTTTTTCAACCCGAACTTTACAAATGCGGCCTATAGCCTTTTCAAAAGTCCAGTTGGCCTCTAAGTCCATTGAGCTGATTAATTCACATCCATACTCAAATTGGAATCGAGTTAAATGCATATCCTACATGTGCCACAAATATACTCAAAGTATTCATAGTTGCAATTTCATTCTTTTAAACTTCATAAAAAATCTGTCATTAAATCCACTGTTTCTTAAATCTTTATAATTTGCAAAACATGTACTTTATATTGGTAGTTTAAACTTCTATGAATCTGTAATGTACATGTGTTCACAGATTTTTTAAGTTATATATATTATATCTTAAATGGAGTGGAAATGAACCCTATTATTCAACAAAACATGAGTCTGCACTGGCAAATTCATGAATCCACTATAACATTAGCCCAAACATAACTTGCTCTTTAGAAAACCCACATTTGCACTTGAAATTGAGAATTTCATTGCAATTTACACTTCATCCCTTCCATAAGTGCTATGCAACATAATCAATTAAGAACGTATAATTTATCAAATCAGACATCGACTTAAAATTGCAATTGGTTTTTACAAAGTTAACAAGATTCAAAAAAGTCTAGAAATAAACAATTAAAACTAACCAAAATTGTCACAAGGTTCCATTTCATCATCATGAGAGTTAATGTCCATTCATGGCTGAGGTTTTTTTGAAACGCCCAATACATGTTTATGTACCCACCAAATTATGAAGTTTATATAATGAACACTCCTTGACAGTTGCACATAAACAATAGGTGATCCTAATAACGGAGGTAAAGTGAATATATACATGGCCATACAGTGGCTGCCATCAATTCATGGACATACTTTTGGAACTAAGAAAAAATAAAGAAGCAAGCCATGCATTTCTATCTGTGAAAGGAATGGAACAAACCTATTTAGCCATGCTACAAGCTTTCTCTGATGCATTTAGAATCTCATAGTAGAAAATCGAGAAGTTGAGTGCCAGACCCAACCTTATGGGGTGAGTTGGAGCAAAATCAGCAACCGCAATATCCTTCACAGTTTAACCAATTCCAATGTGAAAATTCACAAAGCACACACACATACATATGTATTCCTAGCAAAATTGCATTTATCATGCACACATAGAATGTATGACTATTCATTTTTGGAAAGCAATGAGCTTATTAAATTTGAAATGATTTGAAGTGATTTAGGTACCATTTGACAAATGACTATTCACTCTGAGACTAGATTTGAAATGATTTAGGTACCATTTGAAATGATTTGAAATCATGGACTTTCAGTCACTCTGGGATTATGCAGCACATACAACCAAAGTCTTAATAAATAAAAACAACATTAATAATTTGGGAATTCACCAAAGTACTTAACTACTGATTGAACTGAGATACCCATTTCAAAAATTATAAACCATCCTAAAAGAGTATATACAAAGATGCCCATTTCAAAAATATATATTGGCAGCAGAGCAGTGAGGAAAACATCCAATGAAGCACATGCAAAAACGCACACACACACATACACACACACTTCAGGACAATCTTCCTCGTCACTTTCATACTTTAAAATCTTTTCCTAGAGAAGAAACTCATCTAATCACCACAGGGAACGGAATTTATCGGAGAGAATCTGTTTAAAGGTTGCCAACTCATATAGCAATTTCATCAAAAACAGTGATTAATGATACATATTCTGAGCCTTGTTGATCTCATGGATTATGACATTTGATGTGGCTTAGAAATGAGAATTGTTGCACATAAGAATGCAAACTTTTTATTATGGCACTTTTCAACTGTAAGCAACCGTGACTTCTTTTAAAAAAGGAAAATCACAAAGCACATCAAATATTAAGGAAAACGACATACGTGAGAAGCATTGAATATGTTGAGACTTACATGTTAAAATCTGGAACAACAACAATATTGAAAAGATCCAGGTCATACTCAAGACCAAATCTGCAAAACAATTTCAGAAGTAGGACTGACCTTCCCGACTACTACTCACAGTGCACTAGAGTGGATGGCCTTCCCCATTAATTCCACCAACCAAACGAATCAAACTGAGATGTTCTGGAACAAGACAAAAATAATTATTACAGAAAGAAAATTAGAGGGTTTTTAAAACCAAACCAGGTCAAAAGAACTTCAGCAACATCCTCTTGCCAATAAAACACCACCCTTTTTTTTTCTCAAACCCAGTTCAACTCTCTGGCCCCTGGTAGGAAAAAGAAGGGGAAATAGAAAATCAAGATAGATATAGAGGTCAACCAACGAAAAAAATTAATTAATAGTAGTAGTGAATAAAAATTTCAGACATAAATTGATTGATTTAATAGCAAAGCAAAGCAGCAAAGCGAGAGTAACATTTGGTATCACTACGATGCAGCAAACCTCAAATAATTCAGACATTCCAAGCTATGCTAGCAAAAAATATTTAGAAAGGTGTAAGGAAAATGCAGCAATTGAGTTGTAATACAGGAACAAAATAAAAAAATAAAAAAAATAAAAACTAAAAACCTAGAGTCCAAAGACTAATATTGCTGCCAGCCAAACCTGCAAGAAAAGATGAGTCGAGTTTCTATGAGAGAGAGAGCGATGAGTCGGATTTTTTTTATAAATGGGTTGTGTTTTTTACTATATTAAGGGGAAAAGAGCATATATTTTGTAATTAGCGTATTTTAGAAAAAGGTCGTGTTTAGGACCAAAATTCTAAATTTTATGAAGCATGATTAGGTTAGAAACTCGAACATACAGCAGTTTGTGAGCACAGTTATGCTACTTTAAAGCTTTTAGAAGTGTTTCCTAAAGAATGTGATTATGGTAGCTCAGAAGTACTATGAAAGGATGGCATTAGACCCAATTCCAAATGTTTCAGAAAGTTTATCACTTGCCCTATACACACTTCTACACCACAAGGCTGCTAAGCTGATACTCCATCGACACCATTTCACACTTTATACCCAAATCAATAACTTTTTTTTGTAAGAAGAGATGTAAAACATCTATTGTATTATATGAAATGGTTATAAGAACCCAAAACCAGCCTCAAACCACAATATTATGAACTTAGTTTAATACCACAAAATTCTCTGAGAAATAATCATAAAAGGGAAGCAAATAAATTCATTACTAATACAATCATAGCATCAAATTTCAATTGAAATAATCAGAATACATACACAATCAATGAGCAACCATACATGGAAATAAATACACAATTTGAAACTAATGAGCAACCATACATAGAAATACATACACAATGAGTCGGATTAGGGCTTTGAGCCTAATGAGATAGAAAGGGAAAGAGGGGAAAAGGTATCAAACAACTTAAATCAAACCTATTTACCACATCAAACCCATAAAACCCTAGAAATCAACACGAAATTAGACACCTTAAATCATGTAAAACCCGAAAGCAAGAGTGAGAAATGGGAAAATAGAGGAAGGGAGAGAGAGACAGACAAAGACAGAGCGATCGAGCGAGAGAGAGAGAGAGAGACAAAGAGTGAGCGACTGAAAGCGAAAGCGAGAGCGAGAGAGACAGAGAGCAAACGAGTGAGAGTGAGAGTGAGAGTGAGAGAGAGAGAGAGAGAGAGAGCAAAAGAGAGAGGGAAGAAAGAGAAAGAACCTATTTGTACTGCGGCGGTGGCGATGGTGATTTGCGGTAGCGGCGATGTGCGACGGACGTGTGGTGAGAGACTTTGATGAAGTGAGGAGGTGAAGTTGTCTTTGCAAGAGAGAAACAGAGGAAAAGGACTGAAATCTGGACACCTAAATTAGGGCGCCTAAAATATGTTCCCACTAAATATTTTAAATCTTTTAGCGACTAAAATGTTTTTTTAGTCGCCATAAGTTGACTATTTGGTAACTAATTGTTCTTTTGTAGGAAAAAATTGAGTATACCGCGACTAAATATTTTTAGTTGCCAAAACTGCATATTTGCCGACCAAAGTCTTTAGTCGCCAAAGGGTAACAGTGCAAATGTAGCTATTATTTGGCGACTAAACTTATTTTAGTCGGCAAAAATTAGTATACTACGACTAAAATAAAATTTAGTAGTTAAAAAACTAGAGTAACGGCGACTAATAATTTTTTTAGTCGCCTATTATGGAAAATTCACTGATTGATGTTTTTTTTGAGCGCCAATAAATAATATACGTTGACTAAAATATTTTAATAGCAAACACTTGAACGAACGGTGACCAAAATAATTTTTAGTAGCCAAAAATTGAACTTTTGGCAACTAAATCCCTTTTAGTAGCCAAATTTAGTCGCCAAAAGTGTAAATTGTTGTAGTGTATAATATGTTTAAAATTTGTAAATATTTAAACCGACAAACCAATTCATATCTATCCGCTAATTTATCAATCCGTTCATTCTGCATCTGTCAATCTGACGAACAAATGTAAATTGATTTTTTCTAATCTAACAATTCAACAGACGGATGAGATTGAAAGTTTTTCCACCACAATCAAACCGCAAAGCACTAGCCTACTGCGAACCACATTTTTCATATCCTATCTTTTGAATCATTAAGAACCAACCAACTGGATAAATTTATTTTTTATTCAAACATTAACCGGTTAAGTTTTTAAATAAGATGATAATTAACAAGTAGATCATAAATTTAAGTTTAAATCTCATCGTTGAGTTAAATTATTCCATAATGTTTAAATTTAGCTTATCTTAATTGTGAAAACAACTTCTTAATCAGGGGCCTTTTTTTTTGTGTGTGTGTGTAGATTTTTTTCATTTTAAGGACTTTTAGTCTTAAAGCCCCTAAATTTTTTTGAGTTTTCAAAAATAGTTTTTAGAGTTTTCAATTTGTATTTTTGTATTTTTAATGATTTTTAAAATGTTTTAATCAAAATATTTTAATTTTTATATCCACTTAATCTCAATAAACTTAAAAAGTAAATAAAAAAAATTGTATAAAAATCTTTAAAAAAATTTATTGAATAAAACAAAATATGAAAATGTGTCGACTTTTTGTATTTTTTATATTTTTTATTTGGAGAATTTTTTAAAGTTTTTTTTTTATAAATATTATACTTATTAACGATATTTAGATTAGATATATCTAAAAAATATAAAAATTTACACAAAATATTTAAAAAAATCACTAAAAATTAAAAAAAAATACAAAAAATAAATTAAAAAAAAAACTTAATTCTCTGAAAATTAGACTCAATTTTTTGGAACCAACACGGTGCCTAATAAATTTTTTTTTTTATAAACCAAACAAAAAAATCAACAAAAAGACAAACAAAACCATAAATCAGTCTCCACTGATTCAACAACGACTAGTTGGTGGCTTGTTGAATCACTCCAATTACATTCATTATTTTGTCATTAGTCCAACATTATTGTTGGGCTCGTGCCCCTTGGCCCACTTTATTAGTTGCAGCCATCTGATTAAATCATAAAGCATTTCATACACGAAGATGGTTTTAAAGATTTCATTAAACTAGAATTTAATGAGGTGATTCGAAAATTGGTTAAAAGTTGATTTTTTAGATTTTTTGAATTTTTTTTTATCTTTTTGTATGTAAAAAATGTGAAAAATAATGTGACCTAAAATAAGTTAAAAATTAAAAATTAAAAATTAGCTTCCCAAATTGTCCCAATATCTACCCAAAAAAAAAATTACATGGAACCTTCCATAATTGACGGCGTGACCTTGATAGACCAACCCACATTATACGCAAAACAATAATAAGTTTAAGGAGTAAGAATAGAATGAATCTATAAAAGATGAATAATAAGTTTAATGTGCACAAGAATCGGATGTTAAAAAAATATTTAATAAGATTTTTTAAATGTGAATTTCACTAATAAATCTGATAAAATCTAGTTTATTTATATATTTTTTGTGTTTATTATTATTATTACAAAACACGTGACATTTTCTTAATTAATCAGGAGTTAAGAAAAGTTACAAAGTTAGTGGTCTTGCACGGTGGAACATGGAAGACAATGTGGAAGAAGTTAAAGCACATGTGAAGAATATGATGGATAAAGTGACTTAATGGAAGACATGGAGGGATATGTGACATTGTGAGAATGAATGTGGATAGTTTTAGGTGGTTATTGCTAGAAGTTTTTTTTCTTATAAATAGCTATTAATGGCTACATTTACAGGACACAGAACCAGACCTAGAAGCCAATCTATTTTACTTTACATTTTTTCTAGTTCTTTACTTTCAAATTATTTACTTTCTAGTTCTTTACCTTCCAGTCCTTTACTTTCCTGCACTGCATTTCAATTTCGTAAAAATAGTTTTAAGTTAGTCTGTTCATTGCTATAATCCCCTTCGAAGCTGTGGAAGTGCGAAGATAAAATTATAAACACTTGTTCACTTAATGAAATCTATTTTTGACACTATTCTCTTCTTCCTTCTTTTACTATTGTGATTATTTCTTTTAAATTTTATCCTAAAACAAGTTACGTTCTCTTCATTAAGACTAAGAAAACTTCGAAACAATTGTTTGATGAATTTATTGGCATTTATTATTTCTATAAGGGCTTACCGATCCTTACTGACATGCCCAAATTATATTTTTAACCTTCGCAAGTCAAAAAAATCAACAATATTATATGAAAAATTATTTAATATCTCTGCTCATTACGGCGATCATACTATAAATTAATAATAAAACGTCATGTCCCTATATATTTTTTTACAAAATGATAAAAGTCACTACATTCACCAATCACATATAGATATAGATAGTTGACATTTGACTGAGATTATGTTGACATTTTTGATTGGCTGAGGCCGTGTTGATATCTTTGCCAGCTCACAAGGTGGAAAAAATGGTGGTAGAGAGGTTGGTCGAATGTTAAAAGAAAGAAAGGTCATAGACTTTGAATTTTGGCCCTGCCCTCGTAGAATTCAAAAAAACAATTTGCATACATCCAAAACAACAACAATAAACTAAACTACATTTTATTCTATTCTATCTAAAAATAAAATAAATACAACTACACTACAAATGTACATACATATAATTACAATTTTTATACATACTGATGGTACAAGTTTGAAGTTGTCCTTTGTTTTGGATAGGTATATGAATGGGTTGAACAATTTCATGTTGTCACCTTGATGTAACAATCATGTAACCGGAATAATCATGAAATTCACAATTTAAATATATATATATATATATATTGTTAAAAAATTTTGTTAATAATCGATTGAGAATTGACAAGATCAAAGATTTACGTGTATATTTATAATTACAACAACTTCAATTCTGTTGGGAGACAACCAATCAAGCTAAAAATATAGAAAATAAAAAAATTATTAAAAATGGAATTTTAAAGTAAGCTCAAATTCAAATATTAGAGATCAAAAACATACCTTTGAAAAAACCGGGACCAACTTGGGACCAAGTAATTGATAAAATACAACTTTTCAAAAATTGCAAAATTGCAAATTGAAGGCTTAAATTATTGGAAAATTACGGTTTTTTATAGGCTTATTTTGGACAAATTTTGAGTCTAAAATTGAGTGGGTCCCACACGTCTTTTGAGGTGGGTCCAAAGAGGTGACGTGTTCCTTAACTCATGCAAGTCACACGGTGAAGACGGTTCGTCAAAACTATTTATGAGTGAATAAAAAATTGACGTCATTTTTAGGTTCGTAGAATAGGAAATTGAAGAAGTAAAATGTGGGTTTCCTTGAAATTGTTATCCCACATTGAAAACTTAAGAGAACTTATGTGTGTATACAAGTTCTAAGTGACAACCCTTGGGTTGGGCCCCAAAGAGCACCCCAAGTTTGTAAAAGTGAGGAGTTATGGACAAATTGAACCTTGGCTCAAACCACTACATGCGCACCGCCGGCCGGCAGAGCCGTGCCGGGCACAAGTGTGGATCGGGTCAATTCTAACATTAATTTTATGGACAATTTTTGCAAATTCTTGCAAGAAATTATTTGAATTTCAAAATGAAATGAATTCAAATTTTTTGTCCAAAAATTATGCCTCTTCCAAGTCCAAATTCCACAACAAATTAAATTGTCCAAACAAAGTTTTCAACCTGTTGCACCCGGACAAATTCAATTTCTTCACAGAACATATTCAAATCTGTGTTCAAATAGATTCAAAACTGCACAGCAGTTATTTGTTCAAACAGTTACTACACTTGTTGAATTCAAAATCTACTTGTTTAGTTTGAAATTCAGACATGTTCGGGTCTATAAAATCCAAGCCTGTTCTAGCAGTTTTTGACATAAAAAAACATCCAGAAAAAATCTGTTCCCTTCCCAGTTTTGCTTCTTCACTACATTGTTCTTCATTTTAGTTATTCAGAGAAAATTCAGAGAGTATACAACACAGGTTTGGTTCGCCGTACAAATTGTTTGAAGTGCTACTACAATTTGTGAAGATCATTGTATCCTGGAAGATAGACGCAAGATAGACGCCATTTATCCGTAAGCACCGTAGCGGGGTGAATCTGTCTAAAGGACAAAGTGTCACACACTCGACTTGATCTTTTAATTATTTATTCGGTTTGATAAAATAAATTCTGTAAGTAATTTTTTTTGTTTGTTTGTTTGATTTGTTTCAAGTTATTTATTTTTTCACAGAAGATTGTTCTAACAATCTTAAGACAGATTTGAATTATTATGTTTATACAGAATTTTTCGTTTGTTTCCTTTTTTCTTTTTCTTTTTCTTATAGAAATTATTTTCTATGACTTTACAAAGAAATATTCTGGTTGGAAAAATAAATAGTAGTGATATACTGTTTGACAAATAGTAGTAATATACTGTTTATTTTCTTTGACAAT